AGTCTGCCTACTTACTTACCCTAGAGGATGGGGTTCTTGGCTCCTGCTTTTGGCTGTTTGTCACTGCCCCCTGGGGCCTACAATGTTTTCCAGCAACACGGGGGCGGTACGCAGGGAGGTCCCAGAACTTCAGTATGGATTTTCCACATGATCATGGATAGTAGATGAGGTGACGCTATCTACTATCAGTGTTCTTCCAGTCTCGTCCTCCTGATTGAAACTTGTCTGTGGTATGTTGTCATAACAAAACTCACCTGAGTACTGCAGTGTTTCACAGAACAATCCCCAAGAGCTCATTTAGCTAATACACTGCATATAAAATACTACTACATGTAATTTAAGCAATATTTCATCATTTACAAAGTACTTACAGAATTTTATTTGACCTATTTAGAAACCATATTGAGTAGGTAGCAATGATGTTATTACTCACAAGGTATACACGGAAAACGAGGCCCAGACAGGCTAAAACCAATTGCTCAAAGTCAAGTAGTTCATCAGCAGAAGAACCAGAATAGGAACACAGATGTTCTGATTCCTAACTCAAAGGTATTTCCAACACACTGAGTCTCTCCCTTCCCCCCTTTTTTTCCCTCTGGTTTTATCTGTACAGAAAGAACACACCTCTGGTTTGTCCATTTTGTTTTGCTTTGAAAGGCACAATTATCTTGCTTCACTACTGAACTGGAGGTTGGGTGAGTATAGATATTGCTAGGAAAGTCTGATTAAGGTAGATTTAGGGTTGTTCTATCATTTTTGAGAAAATAAAAAAATCCTCTAGTAATATTTGAAATATACTTCTCGATACCCATCCCTTCTGCCTTTGTTCATTTGGCATGAAACCTGTCATATCAGGTACATTACCTAAGAATAGCCTTGCTTATGACCTTTCATCTGGTTGCTCACCTGCCCCCAAAGTATCTCCATTTACGTGTGTGTCATTTATACTTAATTTCTCTATACTCACATATCCAAGACTAAAATTAAGTGAACAGTTTTGATGATCCTATTTGATGCAATTATCTGTTGTTTTTCTCAAAAAATGCATCGCAGTCTCTAAAATTACAGATAGGAAGTTTGAGGGATAATTTCTGAAGTGACAGTCAGGGGGAAATGTTAGCATCTATGAAGACAGAGGTATTATGATATGATGATTTGACTGATGCCCGAATCTGTAGAAAATTAAGATTATTTTATATGTGAAACTCAAGCCATGTTGTAGTCTTGTGCCCGGTACTTGAAAGCAAACACATCTGAGCTGGCCTTTGTCAGGCATGCAGCAGCTCTAAGACGGCCCTGCAAAACTGTAGAGGAGTCAGTGAATACACTGTATGTCTTACATTAAATTGGGACATAAAAGCCATTTTGTGTTGCTGCTTCAGTTTCTCCACCCTCAGCCTGACTTACAAAACCAAGATGTATAACCATACATATCAACCTAGAACTTTGCCCTATGATGCATTGTCTCTGAAAGCCTCTTTTCTCCTTCCTGTCAGTCCTCAGCGGCACTATGGCTGAATGAGTGGTTGTGTTATTCACAGATGTATGTGGCTATCATCCTGCATGAGTGGGTCTGTTTCTGTCCTTGACTCACTTTTTCTTCTTTCCTTTCTTTTTCTCTCTCTTCCTCAGTCTCAGTACCAGCCAGACCTTTTCTGTTTAACTCTATTCTTTTATTTCTGAAACACTGAGAGTGCTATTCAGAGATGTATCTGTACAGAAAGAACACACCTAGAGAGCTCAACACTGTGCAACAGGATGTACTCCCTGAAAAATTTCAAATCCAGACAGCACTGTTGTCCTTCATTTCAGTCAATAACAAAAGCAAATCTATTCTCCTTTTGAATTTATGACAGAGGTAGCTTAGGTAATGAGCAAAATGACTCTCTGAATATGTGTCTTGACAGATGTAAAAATGACCATAAAAAAAGGCTATGGCAAACACTGCGGAAAAGTCAGATTTGACATTGACAGTATTTTCAAACAAAAGTCTATATAAATATCAGATGCTGCAGACATGAATAAGAGAAGCAGATTCTCACAAGGGGAGGTTGCCAAAACCTGAATATTCCATTAGCAAATAAATTAGGAGTATAATTACATACACATTGAAATATTTATATTTAGCATGAGGAACAGTCCTAACTACATATTTTTTACATTTTTCTTCTTCTCACAATTTATATCGTTTTGGGTTAAGTGGCAAAGGAGAGTACATTCGAATAGTAAGAGTAATTAATACTGATAGTATTTTATAATTATGTAGTACCTTCATATTAGTATTTGGCCCTTTTATATGAGTTTCAGAAAGGTTAAGTGATTTGCTGAACATGGATCAGTTTACAAATTTCAGAACCAGGATTCAAGTGAAGATCTTTGCCTCTTTCTGGTCTTTCACTGTGGCAGCTTAGTATTTCTGAATGACATCTGTTGGACTCTAAACATCACAGGAAACATCATAACTTTCAGATTATCTTGGATAATTTCTATCCTAAACTGAGGTTCAAAGTTCCCTCAACCCTATACTTCTTCTTTTCTTCTTCTTCTTATGCTATATGACACCTCAATGCTGAATCAGAGACTGATTCAAATTTCTATTCTAAAATACTACCAGAGATACTTGAATATGTACATAGTTTAATCTTTGGGAAAATGGATTTCATGTGCAATATTAAAGATAATATATAAATAAACATATAAACATACCTTGAATTACACCTTACAGAGTATCATTATAAAGAAAACAATAGTTTTAAAGAATAAAAGTAACTATGGCAACCTATAGAGTCAAATCAGGCTGCCTCCCAGGCAGCATCAGTAGCTCCTAGTTGCCTCAGTAACTTTCCATTACAATGTGTCTCAAACACATACATTCTGAGACACATTAGCTGAAGCTGAATTCCCTACTTAATGTTCTCAATTTAATTTTACCTTTCTGTGCTGATGAATAAAATAATCTGATTACACAATTTGCTTTGGGTTTGTCTCACTGAAACCTTTTCATCCTCTTGCATTTCAGAGAGCTACTTGATGCTGGAATGTCTATTTTTTGATATCCATTAGTGAGAAGGAATTGAGACAGAGTCAGGAGACAAGAGACAGTTTTAGTAAAACAGCTCCTGACTATCAACAGTTAGCCACCCTGACTGACCCCTGTACCCCCACATTTTCTACGTGTAGAGGGTTGACTGGAGACAGTAGAAAAAAATACTAAAATCAGCAACACCTTCCTAGTTTCAAATCAAGGCTGGGCTCCAAAATAAAGTGAAAACCTAAATAGATACTGAGACAAGGATCAATCTTATTTTATTGTAGGCTGAGAAATGGTAGCACTGGGGACTTCAACAAATATTTATTGTTTACCTACAATATGTGACATAGTGTTTTAAGGTATGTGGAGGATAATAGGTGAAAGAGACTGATTTTTGCCTTTAAAATATGATCTAGTGGAACAGAAGCAGGTATGTGTGTGTCTCTGTGTGTGTGCACACACACATCTAGCAATAACTATATATGACAAAGGTAATGAGATAAGTACAGATAAAAAGTTCTTAGTGTCTGAATGAGTTAACAGAAGTCTTCTAGTGATATTTGACTTTTTAAAACTGGAAAAAAGAAAAACATGGAGAATAAACAGGTTTTCTGGAGTAAAATTATGTGGAGATAAAACTGGGGAGATGGAACAGGATAATGGGAAAATGTTGATGCTATCACTTGGAATCTATTTTTAATTTAATAATAAAAAATCACAAGCTTTTTGAAAAAGAGTGTGGTAAAAGTTAATCTATAATTTTTTTGACTGATTGATAGAATACTACAGAAAGAAAAAGGTAGTAGATACGTAAATTCAGATACACAGGCAAGAAAAAAATGAAGGCCAGAATTACATTAAACAATGGAATTGTAAAAAAGAGAATGTTAAGGGGCACTATGGGAAGAGAATATTGATGTTCACAAATTGGGGATTGGAAGGAAAAGAAAAAGATGAATAAAGAGTAAATGGGCCATAAATAGAAGAAATATTAACACAAATATTAAGTTATTCATTCATCAAATATGTATTGAGCAAGAGTAAGAGAAGGGGAGCAATATGGATAGATTTTTATTTATTTATTTACTTTGAAGACAGAGTCTGTTCTATTACCTAGGCTGGAGTGCAGTGGTACAATCTTGACTCATTGCAACCTCCACCTCCTAGGTTCAAGTGATTCTTGTTCCTCAGCCTCCTGGGTAGCTGACATTACAGACATGTACGTACCACCACGCCTGGATTAACAGATACGGGGTTTCACTCAGTTGGCCAGGCTGGTCTCAAACTCCTGGCCTCAGGTGATCCACCCTCCTTCACCTCTCAGAGTGCTAGGATTACAGGCATGAGCCACTACACCCCACATGATACAGACAGATTTTTAAGCCCAGAGATAAATAGTTATGAAGGCCAACATTAGGCAATTTTTTTGCAATCTTGGTAAAGCAAGAGTACTTGCTCCTAAAGTGTGGATTAGAAAAAGGCCTGAGACGAGACTCTACATACACCCCATTATTTATATTGTTTGATCAGTGAAAATTTAGTCCACAGAGGAAAAGCCATGATCATTAGTTACACACAGACCTATCAAGACATCCTACCCAGGCACATGTATGCATTACCATAGGAATCACAGGGATACTTAAGGCTGTTCAGATCTACTACTAGGTGGTATATAAGAACTAAAAGGCAGTTTCTAATCTCACAGATATTTTCTCTTTCTCTCTCTCTCTTTCTTTCTCTCTCCCTCTCTCTCTTTCAAGTGGCATTACCAGCAAAAAGAAACATAAAGTGTAGCCCACCTAAATCAACAGCATATTGATGTACATTTTTTTCTCTGTCATTTTTTTTCCCCTGTAAGAAGTGTTTGCTATTTAAAATCTGTTACTAGGTGATAATAGCAAAGCACATTTTTCTCTCTTTTCCAGAGTCAACCCCATACATTTCACTTTGTATTTGCAAGTAAAAATACCTGTTGCCGTGCACATGAGAGGCACAGAATGCAAAGCTGTAATGGAGCAGGGTAGGGTCAATGACAGCACCATTTTCTGAATGTTCCATCAGTTCTGTAAGGTAGCAGAGATGTCTGTGACAGCCTCTTACACCATAACGGGCACAGTACTCATCTAACACAAAGACTTGGCCGGGGCTAAACCAACCCTGCAAAGTAGGAAAAGAATAGATATATATGTTTTTTCTTTCTATACTAATATTTGCTTTCCTGAAGGCACTTTTGGGCCTTATAAACAGAAGCTGCATGAAAATATCTTGACATTTATTATACTAATGGTACATTTCATGTTATTTTCAGAAGAGATAATGTCATCAATTGTTAAACTGATTTGGGACACTGGCGACCTAATGCTATTCTCTCTTTACTGTCACAGCAAGGCATGAGTAACTTGTGCTTCCCCACTATCATTCAAAATTAGCCACATTTATTTATAGGATCTAAATGATCACACACAAAGAGTGTTACTCCAAAAATTTCACTCTCTTTATGCATCAATTAAAAAGAGAATAAGAAAGAAAACATTATAGATGAAATTTCCTACTCACCAAAAGTTTTATAAAGTGAACCAAAAGAAAATGTCATTAATTCTAGCAGCAGTATACTATTTGAGAGCTTAAATATCTGGGATATTTTTCTCATTTTGTTTGTCTTTCTATGACTAATATAACAGAGTTAGTGCTTTGTATTAGCAGTTTCTGTTCCTCCTGAAATGAGATGTTAGATGTATGTGTGTGCATGCCACCTGAACACAATAGGCAGTTTATGTGGCTAAACCTAGAGTACAGGGTTAGGTGGAGCTGGCTTATAGAATATCTTGATGAATTATATGGATTTACATAGATTAACTTAATAAAAGAAAATAGGGAAGTATAGAGAGTTTTAAAAAGGGGCAGGGTAATCATGTAAGAGAAAGAAAAGAATAATGAGAAAAAGGTGAGATGGCAATAAAGGAAAGGAGGAAGAAAAGAAAAGGAAGAAGAGAAGGACCATCATGCATGGTAGTTATATGGCTTCCATGTCGCAGATAAATAAGATAAAGCTCAGGGATGTTAATTGTCCAAGACCACACTGCAAATCAGCTATTGAGCCAAGATTTATATTCACAGTCATCTGACTCCAAACACTTTCTAAGCAAGTTATATTCACTCCCCTCTTGGTGCAGCGGAAGATCTTGTAGCATTTTCCTCAGACTCCATATTACACTTGGGGTCATCAACAAAATCAAAACAACTTTTGATAATTGAATAATATATTTGAGTGGAATCTAAGAGGACACTATGTGTTTGTCCATGAAAAGACAGAATAGGATTTTGAGAGGATTTGTTTTACTCTCCATGTGATTGTAAAGTTTGATTTGGATCAGGATGAAATTAGACTTAATAAACAATCCATAAATGAATTAATGAACTGTTAGGGTGAGCATGGCAATAAGTTGTTTCACTTTTTCCTATCTGAAGTATCTTTAGTGGGGGAGGGCATTTTGTCTGAAATCTTGTTTTAAAGAGAATGTGACTTTATTGCATGAAGTTACAGGTTGAGCATCCCTAATTAAAAAGTCCCAGATCTGGAATGCTCCAAAATCCAAAATATTTGAGTACTTCCATTATGCTGTTAAATCAAGTTTAGCCTAAAGCTGTCTCCTTACATATTTTAAGTTCAGCATAAAGGTTTCTTTGTACATCATGAATTATAAACTAAATGGAACTATAAACAGACTGTAGTCTACTATTGTGTCAATCACTGAGTTTGGGCCAATCAAAGGTGGCCAACTTTTCAAACTGTGCTCAAATAAGGCAAATGCTGAGCTGTAACCAATCTGGCTGTTTCTGTACCTCACTTCCGTTTTCTGTACGTCACTTTCCTTTTTCTGTCTATAAAGCTTCTTCTACCATGTGGCTGCACTGGAGTCTCTGAACCTACACTGGTTTGGAAGGCTGCCTGCTGCCTGATTCGTGAATTCTTCTTTGCCCAATTAAGCTTGGTTAAACTTAATTTGGCTAAGGTTTTTCTTTAAACAATGCTCAAAGAAAACTGATTTTGGATTTTTGGATTAAGGATGCTCACCTTGCATATAAAATGCAAATATCCTAAAATCTGAAGAAAATTAAATATCTGAAACACCTCCAGTCCCAAGCATTTTGGATAAGAAATATTCAACCTGTACTATGCTCAGTGTCCTAAAGATTAAAGTGGTGATAGAAATAGGCATATTCTGGCTGTAAAAATTTCAGAGGAATTGCTATTAACAACGTAAATGCTTGGAAAAACACACATAGTTCTTAGGTTATAAAGTTTAGTCCCCATATTCTGAGGTGTCAAGCATTCCTCTACAATTTCAACACATACCAAGAAAGAGTTTACACAATTTAATTCACTCCTTTCCTTTTGTCAAGGAATTCAAGTTATATTTTGGATGGCTAGATGAAACTAAAACTTTCCTTTGTTATGTATAGCACCTGTCATATTTTCAATCCCACTCTTTCTCTCCCCTGTCACTTAGGTTATCCTTATAAGAGCAAAGGAAAGAAATGCGAGGTGTCAACATCTGAGGAACAGAACTTCAACTTTAAAATGTCTGTACAGGTGTAAGTCCTATAACAGAGGTTTTAAAAAGTCTTCATTTAAAGGCTTCTGTTTTCACTGAGCCTTCTTTAAAAGGACTTACAAACCACAATTTAGCATCTATTTGAGTCTATTCTCCTGTCTATTGAGTGGCACAGCAGTCGTCTTCAAGTGTATAATTTTCAAATTGGGAAGCAATCGATTGGAATCCTTTATTCTTCACTCCAACTACCATTACTAAATGAGTCAGGGATAAAATTGCTGCTTTATAACAAATATTTCTCACTTTCTAAAATCTTTTATTCCAACCTATAGGGCACTAGATAGATAGACTTGTACTCACCAAACAAGAATAGGAATCATTCAGTCTGTGATCCAAAGTCTGCCTCTGGAGTATTCTAAAAAGGAAGGCGTGATCAAGCTTGCAGGGGTTTGCAGAAATAAACTCATCCATGCCATGTTTCTGAAAACGATCTCCATCTGTAAATTCAGGTATAGTATATTTACTTTTCAGGCTTAATGATGGACAGATACAGGTTGTAAAGAACAAAAAATGTATGACTCATAACAGAAGATTACCTTTTATCACATAAAATATGATGCCAAGAATTCAGCATATTAACATAAATTGGAAACTTTTTGAAGCCTAAGTAAAAACTACAGTGAAAAATCTACAAATTATTTAGAATGAAATAATTCTGTTTCCATTCAAAGCTATTGCTAATATCCATCAGAGGAATAATAATCTTATTTTCCAACATTGAGAAAAGTTGTATTTTAAGTCTACATTTACTGACGGAATTGACTAGAAAAGAACTAAGGTCTATTAATAAAAAACAGCAACGATGGCCAGAAGACTGCTTTCCAAATGGCAAACTAGGGCAGAAATGAACACACACGCTTCAGCTGGATCACTTCCAGTCTTCTTTTTGTATGGAGCTTTTAATGGGACTATCCTTAATGTAAAAATGGCAATGAGCGCTCTCAAGCTTCAAGTTTAAGAGACATAAAAAAGGGAGCATCATGTTTGTGCAAATATGCAGACAAAGCATAACGTTCCAAATGGCACTTCAATCAAAGGCCCAAATTTATTGTTCTTTACAGATTGCATCTTTCAACGCCTGTAGACCCTGCGGGTTTATCAAAAGGCAAGCTTTTATGATTGCTTTCATTAATGGTATGTTTTGTCAAAGTCTTCAATGTGAGTTATTTACTAAGTATAGGGGAAAAAAGCCACACACTATCCCAAAGGAGTGCTGGGGTGTTATTACATTAGCTCTGTAAGAAACATAGCACATATTGAGCAAGCAATCAGTTATCAAGATAAAAGTGGTCTCTTCTCACAATGGTAAAACTGAAGCCCCATTGTTCCTTAAAATTCATAGATAGATCTCTTTCTGGTCATCATAAGAAAAGCAGAGTTCTAAATGTAAGCTAAGTGTAGTTTCTGAAACCTATATAGTACAATCCTAAAATTGTAAAGGAAAAGAGACAAAAGTTTATTGATTAAACCCAATTATAGAGTTGGACTCATAATAAAACTCAGTATTGATCTGTGGACATGATGCTAACATAATCAGTCACATTTAGATATTTAGCCCAGATCATATTGATCCATGTCAAGTTCAACTTTCAGCCATATTTGTAGATGGAAGAACTGTATAATTCAAGCTGAAGGGTCCTCAGAATCACACTAAAAAAAAAAAAGATATACAAACTAATGTACATCTCACATCAATGACAGATATGAAAAGGTGAATATAGCAAGTAATCAATGAATGGCAGCTTATTGATATGTAGCATATGAGGTTGTAATCCATGGAGAAAATAGCATATATATACCTTTACATTTAATAATTACCTGAATGATTAAATACATTACACATGCTAAATTAACATTAACTGGATAAACACAAAACTAAACAGCTTTTCCTGAACTAATATACAATTCAACTTCTTTTGTATTTTATTCTTGTCTCTTTTACTATAAAGTTAAATATATGATAATGTAATGTGAAATAACATCAGATGAGTAGGAGGCAGAATATTAAATCTGTAAAGCTCACATAAAATTGGAAGTTTTGTTGTATTTAAAAAAATTTTCTTAGAATATTCATTTTTCCATTTATCTCAGCAAAAAATTCTTTTAGTATCATTATTATGAAATTAAATTACTAGTTTTATAAAACATCTGCTAAATTTTATACCTTATTACTTGCACCAGAGAAGGTTACGATAGGAGTTAAAAATAACGCCAATTAATGGTTAATTTGTTGAGAACAGGACAGTGATAAATTTCACTGGAAAAAGGCCTACTATAAAGATTTGTAGAAGCAATTAAAAAATGGGCATACGATCTTTAAATAAAAATCTGATTCTGAAAAAAGAGTCTATAGTCCATTTCTATAATTAAATCATACTTTTGTAAACTTATAAAGTACTTTCCTCGGGTAATACATATACCAAACCATATGTCTGCTAAGGTAACAAGTCTTTCCAAATCACATACATGAATGGAACATTATTTTTCAAACAATTACTATTAGTGATAAAAATGATATTAACGACAGCACTTTGAGTCACAAATACAGACTCTACTTGGAAAAAACAGACAGGCAAACAAACCCACTAAATTTTTTATTTAAGGAAATCAATAACCTTCAATTTCTCTGGAGCTGTAATTTTGTGAAAGTGAAATGTGCTCTTTGGAGTCACTCTATCTTTAAAACACAGGCTGTGAAGATCAAGCATCTTTACTTCTTTCTTTCTGTATCAGATCAGCACCATTTGGAACATTTCATGCAAAAATACATCACCATGTGCCAGTATAGCCTTAGTTTCCATGAATTTACGTATAAAATAAATAAAAAAGTAACAGTCTTGACCTCCCTGAATGAAAAAATGAGAGAGAGAGAGACAGAGACAGACAGGCAGGCAGGCAGATAGGCTGTGTTTCATTTTCAAGAACAGGCAGTCAGTTTCAGTTTGCTGTCCCTCTGGCCCTTGTTTTAAACAAAATAATATCAATGTATACAAGTGTTTCTAACATATTGAAAGTGCCAGGCACGGTGGTTCATCCCTGTAATCCCAGCACTTTGGGAGGCCGAGGCGGGTAGATCACCTGAGATCAGGAGTTCGAGACCAGCCTAGCCACCATGATGAAACCCGTCTCTACTAAAAAATACAAAAAATTTGCTGGGTGAGGGTCACCAGCCACTTTGGAGGCTGAGGCAGGAGAAATGCTTGAACCCGGGAGGCTGAGGTTGCAGTAAGCTGAGACTGCACAAACTGCACTCCAGCCTGAGCCACAGAGTAAGACTCCATCTGCTGCCCCCCAACAAAAACATACCGAAAAGTGAAATGTAAGGCAACAATAGCATCAAAGCTAGGAGGGGTGAAATAGATGTAATACTACTGAAATGCTTTTTTAATAATAAAATTGGGTGTGTATGTATATTTAAGCATTACAACATGATATTATGGGATACATATAGATAGTAAAATGGTTATACATAGGAGAAAATTAATAATTCTATCATGTCACATAGCTACTTTTTTGTGACAGAGCAGCTAAAATCTACTTACTTAACAAAAATCACTAACAGTACAATTTTCTGGATTCTAGTTGTCATGTTATACATTGTATCTCTAGACTTGTTCATTCTACATATGTGCTAGTTTCCATCCTTTGACCTACATCTCCCCATTTCCTCCCTGCTCTAAAGTTCTCTCATGAACTAATGTAAAATAGGAAATCAGATACCATTAAAACAGTATCTGATTTCTTATTTTAGCTTTCTACAGGCATAACATATCTGTATGTAACTCCCGAGAGACACAGGCATCATCTAAATCAAGTGCAAAACATGCTTTTAGTCAATTACCAAATCCAAGGCTTCAAAATAGGGTTAAACTGGATTATCTTCAATTAATGTTACTATGACACAACATGATGGTAGCTACTTTTAAACAGAAAATTATTCATGGTGTCACTAAAATTTCTCTGATAATGGAAATTTTCAGTTCAATCTATCTTCCAAAAAAAATGACAACTATCAAAACAAACCAACAAGCTATGAGCTTAAGCAATATGCTGCAAAACTGTCATAAATTGTGATGATTAACCTATGGACTAACTACAGATGTGGGACACGGTAATTGAGGATACTGGTGGAGTTTCTATGGCAACACTTGGATATATGCTCCAGCATCTTTAGGCGGTACTGTCACCAGGTGTGCTAACAGTAGATGGAATGAAACCCAAATTGAGAAAGATTACTGTTTGCTATAGATTTAAGAAGTTATAGAGGCTATATGTAAGTGAAACCTAAAAATTAAACTTTTTCATTAGGATAACAGCTGTTGGAAGTTAAGAGAAAAGAATAAGCAGGTTGACAGTATCAACTTAACAGATTTGAAAATAGCTAGTATAGAAAATGACATGAGGACTATCAGTGAGCTAGTAGACCCCACTGTGGTGAGGGGGCTTTTTGGTGGGCACTGACCACAACCTGCCCCTTAAGTGCTCAAAAATCCTAAGCCCAGGAAAGGCATCTAAGTCAGAGAGAATGTGAGATTGAAAAAAATAACTGAAATATTTATTTTTTCTTTGCCACAAATTCTCGTGATACTGCATTTGTTGCTGGCTCCCATTGTTGTGAAAAATCATGGATATAAAAGGAAAAGGGGAATAAAAGGTAAAGGGGCATTCTGGAGGAGAAAAGGAGGCCATTTATTAGCTTTCTGAGGTCACTCCAGTGTCTGGGAGTGGGACTCTAGTATCAAAAGGACCAAGAGGATGCTGTCAGCCAAGACTGCTCTCTGCAAAACACTGAGCTGAACTAAGCAGCAAATGAACCTTTTGAAATATAATACAATGTACTGTCCTGTGTTTAGGAGTTCATCTGTAGCTGCCTTTACCACTACTCACATCTGATTATACACTTTTTATAATTCAAATGCTCATAGAGCTTGAGAAGGTACAGGAAGTTAAAAGTGACACAGCAAAGTAGGTGTCACTTCTCTTTTTATACCATCCATGTAGGCTTTAATAGGAAGAGTTTAATATTTTTAAATTTTACCTAGATCAGTCTAGACAGTATGTCCACATTTTATGTACACATTTGCTGCTGAAAAGCAAAGGAGTTTGTTCACACCTCTATTACTGACCCAAATAACTGTTTAGCTTCTTTTGCTTAAATTGATTCAAAACCCGATATATGAATTAACATATCTTGCTTTCTGCAGCAAATAACACATAAGTAATACTTTCACCTGATGACAACTTTGATCGACACAGAAGCTTAGAAGTACAAATAAGCAAAGTAAATATTGAACATTTATTAGAAAAAATATGTTCAATGAAAAGAAAGACAAATGCATTTCCTATGAAGTGTGAAATTTAACATATTAGATCAATCAGGAAAATAAGTTCACAAAATTAAATGTCAGTTTGTATTTCAATGTAAGAATTTAAGAATATTAACTTAAAAAAGATGGCAGTTTTTCTGGTTAATTTTTGATATTAATTTATTACTGGAAGTCAACTACTACTATGTCATACTGTATTATGTAACCTACAGATTGTATTACGTTACATATATAACTGAGGGACAGTGAAAACCAGAGTACATGCACTGAAATTTGGTTGGAGAAAACAAAGGATAGTTTAACCAAAGAATGTTAGTCAATTTGGCAATGGTAGTACATTATATTTGAAGTGACAAATTGTTTACCAGCCTCATCCCCACACCTTCAGCTCACTCTCTTCCCTTAGAATTTTTATATATCCAGAGAGTCAAACAAACAAAAAAAAAGATAAATGGAATTGATTTGTTTATTAGAGAAATCTATACATACATATTATTAATGTCCTAAAAAGATAAGGTTGTCTTCCAGTAAGTTAGATTTTATAAATTTTTTTATTTTTCTTAGTTATTAGTATGCTTAGTATTAAAAAAATAAGCTTCTTTTTTTTTTTTTTTTTTTTTGAGATTGAGTCTTGCTTGCTCTGTTGCTAGGTACCAGGCTGGAGTGCAATGATGCGATCTCGGCTCACTGCAACCTCCGCCTCCTGCCTCAGCCTCCCAAATAGCTGGGACTACAGACACACGCCACCATGCACAGAAAAAAATAAGCTTCTTTTTAAGATTCACACTTAATTCTAAAGCACTGGGTTTGTGGAAAATAAATAAAAATACATATCTCAAAGAAAAATCAAATATAGAAGAAACAGAGTAGCAACTAGTACCTCCAATAAAACACATCCACTGAATATTTTAGGTGTAATTCTACCTATATTTTGCTTTATAAATTGGATGGCTTTTTAATATAGTGAAAATAATACATGTCTAATTTAGTATTTTTTCCACTTAACATATTGACCATTTGTTTTGCATGTTATTACAACACCTTCATGGCTATTACCTTTGTGACTGTATGAATGGTAGACATTAGGTTGTTTCTACATTTTTGTTGTGATAGACATTTTTGTTTTGTAAACAATAAAGCTAACCTAAATATTCTGGGTTTGACTAGAAAGTAGAAGATTGACCCTGTAAACAAGATCATGATATTCCTCAAACTTCGTATTATTAAAATTATTTAAAAACATTTAATTTAAAAATCATGAAAATACTTACCTTTACCAGCTACAGGTCAGCAAAGAAATGAGAAACGGAGCATATTTAAATGAATTGGGAACATATATATAGATATATATATATATTTTTTGAGATGGAGTCTTGCTCTGTCACCCAGGCAGCAGTACAGTGGCATGATCTCAGCTCACTGCAGCCTTTGCCCCCCGGGTTCAAGTGAATCTCCTGCCTCAGCCTCCTGAGTAGCTGGGACTACAGGCATGTGCCACCATGCTCTGCTAATTTTTGTATTTTTAGTAGAGACAGGGTTTCACCTCGTTGGCCAGGATGGTCTTGATCTCCTGACCTCATGATCCCCCTTCCTCAGCTCCCAAAGTGCTGGGATTACAAGCGTGAACCACCGCATCTGGCCTATATATATTTATACAACCAGACATTTAAAATTTTATTTTCTCAATGTCTACTTGTGATTAAGTTATTTTTCTAAAAGATCGTTAGGAAAGAAAACAAAAATGATTATATAAGTCAATGGAGCGAGGAAAATACTATGGGTGAAACTACTCTCTGGAGGAATTCATGGCACTTCCCTGATGGGTCAGGGTCAGTAATCTCATTCTGATGAGGTAGAACATTTTCTTTTTTCCTTTCTTTTCACTTTTCTTTTTCTTTTTCTTTTCTTTTCTTTTCTTTCTTTTTTTTTTTTTTTTTTTTTTTTTTTGAGACAGAGTCTTGCTGTGTCTCAAGGCTGGAGGGCAGTGGCACAATCTTAGTCACTGCAACCTACACCTTCTGGGTTCAAGCTATTCTTCTGCCTCAGCCTCCTGAGTAGCTAGGATTACAGGCATGCGCCACCGTACCTGGCTAATTTTTGTATTTATAGTAGAGACGAGGTTTTACCTCTTTTTTTTTTTTTTTTTTTCAAAGAAAGATAAAGCAGAAGCAGCAGAGGTCTGCCCTGATTAAAAACTTTGCTAGCCTGGATACAAGTCAGCTGTTGTTAACAAATTAAAACCATTTGGCTTTATAGTTATAACAAGTAAGTTCAGTTCCCACAGCCTAATCAATTCTGCCTTGACAACAAGCTGATATCAAATAATGGGAAGATTTTTTAAGAAACAGATTACAGGGCCGTATGTAGTGGCTCATGCCTGTAATCCCAGCATGCTGGGAGGCCAAGGCAGCAAGATCACCTGAGGTCAGGAGTTCGAGACCAGCCTGGCCAAGGTGGAGAAACTCCATCTCTATTAAAAATACAAAAATTAGGTGGGTGTGGTAGCACGCACCTGTAATCCCAGCCACTTGGGAGGCTGAGGCACAAGAATTCCATAGCCTGATCAATCCTGCCTTGACTATAAATTGATAACAAATAATAGAAAAGTTTTGTTAGAAACAGATTACATGACCAGGCGCAGTGGCTCATGCCTGTAATTCCAGCACTTTGGCAGGCTGAAGCTGGCAGATCATCTGAGGTCAGGAGTTTGGGGCTAGGTTGGCCAACATGGAGAACCCTGTCTCTACTAAAAATACAAAAATTAGGTGGGTGTAGTGGCACACACCTGTAATCCCAGCTCCTGAGATTACTTGGGAGGTTACTTGGGAGGTTGAGGCTATTTGGGAGGTTGAGGCATGAGAATGGCTTGAACCCTGGAGGCAAAGGTTGCAATGAGCCAATATTGCACCACTGTTCTCCCTCTCTCTCCAGAGGCAGACTCTGTCTCAAAAACTTGTGTATCATTCAGCTATGATCTTAAAGTTCTATGTTAGTGGTTCCTAACCACTTTTCTTGCCACTGTGTGCAAGCAACAATAGACATGAGCTCAGCACATTCATTGGGCACTCCTTGCATTCAGGATGTTAAGAAAAAACATGGGAACACAAGTGAAGGAGGGTGACAATATTTATTTTTTAATAGCTATTTTATTTTTTAAAATAGCTATCAAGTCACTGTAATTCTGTGGTTCTCAATTGGGGTGATTCCTCACCAACTGCAACCCTACCCTCGGGTACATTTGGCAATGTCCAGAGATACTTTTGATTGTCAGACCAAAAACAGTCTCCAGGTGGGAGACTATTGGTATCTAGTGGGTAGAGGACAGGGGTGATATTAAACACCACACAATGCACAGAAAAAGTCCTTTACTCCACTTCCTGCCCTAAAACAAATAATTATCTAGCCCAAAATGTCAATAGTGCTGAAATTGAGAAACCATGCTTTAACTAACAAAAAATTCACTGTGCTTCTGGTCATGACGGCATAATGGAGAACAAATTTATCCTCCTAACTAAACTAAGTATTAAAAAAAATTTACAATCTTAAACGCTGCATGTTGGGCAACCCAGGAGAGTGATTCCTAAGAAATGGGAAACAAGGTGAGCCTTAGAGTCATCCCAGGTTACTGCCAGGAGAAGCTCTATAGCCCATGGCACCAGGAACAGGAACTCAAGAAAAGTCCAGTGGTCTCCCTGAGTTAAGAAGATGGAGCTGACAGTTAAGCAGGGCCACAGTAACTAGAATTTGTAGGAAAGAGTACTGGAGAGAAGAGAGTTGTACAGCAAGAGACTCTCAAGACCTGCAAAAGGCCTTCAACAAGAATTCAGCTGACTACCCATCAGCTCATGCATGTGTAGAAAGGGAAAGGAGGAATCTAAAGGATTTGAGAAGACAGTGCCCCAAACTCACACAGCCTAGAATAGCACTGCTTCTCAGCAGCAAGAATATAAAATCTCGGTCAG